GGTCTTCGGCATCATGAGGTCGGCGACTGTAGCGGTCGGCAAATATACCGGTGTACCATTTTGTACTAGTGGCTGCATCGATATCCGCGATTGGATATCGAACATAGACGTCGTGTGCGCCTTTTCGGGAGTGGGATCTTGACTTCGCTTCGCGGACAGAAGCCATCGCAGCTCGGCAAACAGAGATGCGCGGGGTTTCCGCTCCTTGGGCCCGCGTCGCAGAGAATTCCGGGCCAATGCACACGGCGCGGTGTGCCGACGTTGAGTGCGGCGCGTGCACACGTCCTGCCCTGGTCTCAGGGATGCCTGCCAAGGTCATGCGGCCGGTTCCGCGAGAATTTTCCGACTTCGGCGGGACTGTAGCCCGCAGTGGCCCCAGTGGAGTCCGCCTCAGTAAAGAAGGAGTTCGACTCCAAACCAAAGCCATTGGAGCGGGAGAGCTGCCGATAAGATATGGATAAGGCGCACGATGAACGCACATCGCGCGATTGGTTGAGTTTGACCGTTGAATATCCGAGACGAGACAGAGCGCCTTGAGCTGCCTTGGCGATGTGGCACCTTGATTCTTGAAATGGTGGCGAAGGACAGACAAGCAAGGGTCGCGGGAAACTCCGTGATGGGCCGGAGTCACCCGAAAATGAATATCAAAATCAACCCACGGTTATACTCGGTTGAACTTGAAGTGAGATTTAAGCACCTTGGCAGGCGCGCTTTGAGATCCACGTCGGTGTTATACAAGCGGACCTAGTGTCCATTTTCGGCATTTACCGTATAAAACTGTTCCAAGGAGGTGCTACCATCTGCGGATTCCCCGCTATTCCCCGGTGGGATATTTTCTGTATTCACTTCATGATTAGCGATGATATTGAGAGACCGGTGTTGATACGCGAAAGTTTGAAAGGAAAAAAGGAATGCAGCTCACACGAGATGTCCGTTGAACTGGACAGATGGCCACCACCCATCAGGGAACGGCCCAGCCGCGACTTCCGATAGTGTGCTGCTTTGAAAGCTTTCCGTGATGAGCGCTACCAGATGTCACGGATTTTTTGCGTACCTCGAAAGAGCCTGTTGGAGGTAAGCGCCTCGCCGAAATTGCTCAACACAAGTCAACACCACAGTATGAATGGAAGGAAAGGAAGGAACCCAGTCGATTGGATAGTACACGGTCGAGGGTCGCTTAAATTCCGAGCAGATATATGTGTTTCAAATGTCAACTGCCGATATTACGAGTTGGCTTACTGAAGCCTGAGAAAAGAAAGGACGAAACCAGGTGGCTAACCAGAACTCAGGACTACACAGTGGGAATTTTTGTATGTAGAAAGCGCTGGCACCGGCGTTGTCTAGTACAACGCGCTGCCTCCTGACGCTATCATATAGCCTATCAATTTGTACACTGAGGAAGTAATGCAGGGGATGCATTTTCACAGGTAAATAAGCACTAGTGGTGTATTGCACATCCATTGAGTGGGCCAATGGGTTGCTGGACCGGATTCAATTCCCCGCTAGTGCATAATCGGGTCAGGATGCCTTTTTTGCTGGGTATCTATTGGGTATCCAGGCTGAACAATTGACACTTCAAGCTCGACTCTAGCTGCATAATGTTGTTGCGACTCCGAGTCGGCCAATTCAATTTATCGCAAATAACATCTGACTGAAGAGTATAACTCCAATGATTATATATGACATATGTAGGGTCATAATGTGTGTATAACATATATCAAGGGTTCCCGCTGATACCGCACCGTTCGTGAGAAATATTGGAGTTATTGATCGACTCAAGTCGAGTCGAGTCGAGTCGAGGTAAACAATGATTTAGGAATTTCTCCACAACTAAAGATCCAATTGCCAAGGCATTTGGATATATTATGGACCTATATGAACCCTCTTTATTGGCTATGAGATATTTGCCTTTTGGGAGTAAACAATGTGGCTATACACAAAGTTTGAGTTGATCGACTTGGAGTCGCGGCAACATTAAAGTCTCTAGCAGTCAGTGAGAAAATAGCAGTCAAGCACTGAGAATGAATTCACACACATTGAAGAGAGAAGTAGGTGTACCAAGCACCAGTGGTGTATGGCACACCTGCTGGTATATCTGGTTTATGACCAGCTTGGTAACAGCAGATTGGGGTTTGATTCCCCACTGGTGCATTCAGTTTGGTGACCTTTCCTTTTTTTTTTTTGACTTTGTTGCACCAATTTGTTGGGCTGGATTAAATGTTCTAGGGAGAAGCCATGCGGGGATTTCGGGCACCAACTCAGAGCAATGTTTTTGGATACTGGTGTTGATATCATTTGAAGTTCACAGCACACTACGCTGGCACACACATTGAAGGAAAAAGTAGGTGTAGCAAGCACTGGTAGTGTATGGTACACCCACTGAAGGAATAGATAGAGAGACATATGATTGACAGTGGACCGGGGTTCAATTCCCTGCTGGTGCATCCAGACTGCATTGATGATTTTTTGACCTTTTTTCTTTTGCTTTGTTATATAGAGGTCACCAGGAGGTGGAGGTGAATGTTGAGTGTGGGGAGAGGGCAAGCGGGAATTCTGGAGATGTCAGCGAAACTAAGGCACAACAATGTTTTTGGGATGCTGTTCCGATTGCTTGAAAGTCTTGAGGTCTTGAGGTCTCAGCAAAGGAAGAGTGTAGGTGTAGCAAGCTCCAGTGGTGTATGGCACACCTTGTCACGATTCGATGCAAATCTTATCGCTCCAACGCCAATCTGAGAGTGCAACACAACAAGCACATACAGATAAGATCTATCTGAGAGCGTAACATACCAGACGCATACAGAAGAGATAATGGAAACATTATCAAGAACAAAACCTTAGATCAAGAGATCAGGACAGGATCCTAGACAACGGGTCAAGAGAAGGGCTAGACGCATACGAAGCCCAGACAAGATCTCAGATCACGGAAGAACACCAGGATGCAGAACGACACTGCTGTAAACTAAACGACAGAGGACCATAAGGGACAAGGCAGGCTTGTCAGAACCTCACACGATTACCGATCAAAGTGTTAAGTCACACGATCGAAGAAGCATCAAGACGACAGATGCTTAAGAAGATATACATAGAAGGAAGCGTACCGACAGGATAACATGAGTACGGACACATTCACGGATCAAGGCTTTCGATCGCCAGTACGAACTCGGACATGAGTTACGACAGACGAAGGCTGGACAACATACACCCACGCATATGTGGAAGACATACGGAACGCCATGAGAATATACACTCGGTTCCACGGTACCAGGAGGAGTCCTTACAACACTCGACGAAGAACACATGCAGGACACGCATGAGAAGATATTACTATAACTCAACACGAGTATAACTGGGAACGGAACGATCGAAGAAGCCACCGAAGACTCGGGTTAAGAGATCAGTTGGTACGATCGAGTTGGAACACATGCTATACGCATGAACATTTATATTTACGAAGCCACAAGGTATACATGTGGTGGTTACTAATAGCCTTGCAGACTATGGCATGTTCTAGGACGGAACACACACCTAACAGATAGAAGCAACGCACGTACACTTCATTTGGGTTATATATAGTAGTACAGCAGTACTAACGGTCGTTTACCATGCCAAAAGCCTTATGCTCGGATCATAGCATAGTCCCACGATTACTTATTAGGAAGGTATAGTTCACGGTTGAACTTGACGATAGTTACAATGATTAGATACAACGAACGGTATATAGTTGTAGCCTAGTCGTAGATATTCTGTACCTCTCATAGACTTTTATTCCACTTCATTTACGAGCCTCATACCAAACGGACCTCCGAACCCTTCTGCTTCGCCAGAGTTCGACCCGGAGCTTGTTCTTGTAACACACCTGCTGGTATAGTTACAGTACTGTAGTGTTTCGACCGAATGTTCACACCATGTCACCCGTCACCTCAAATGTTCACTGAACTTGGTGTTCATTTCTCGGCAATCAGTGGAAAATTACCCTATATGGTATTCCGGCGGGTGCCGAACCAAAAAATTTGGCATTTTTCGGCCTATTTGAGCGACAAAATTGAAAAGTCACCGTCACTCATACCAAAAATGTTCAGTTCATGGCCCTCTGTCACCCGTCACCTGAACATTCGGTCGAAACGTTACAGTAGTTTGACAATTTGATAACAGCAGATTGGGGTTCGATTCCCTACTGGTGCATGCACAGTGCATATGCAACTTGGAGAACTTGTTTTCTGGAATCTGTTGCACTAATGATTATTGGGCTGGATTGAATGTTCTATGGAGAAGCCAAGCGGGAGTTTCGGGCACGGGCACAACAATGTTTTCGGATGCAGATGTTTGACAGATGTTAATATTGCTTGAAGCTCTGGGTACACAGCACTGAAAATAAATCTGCATACAGAATGTAGGTGTAAGCACCAGTGCTGTATGCCATCTTAGCAACAGCAGATTGGGGTTTGATTCCCTGCGGGTGGCTGAGTTGTTGTTGTCCTTATGTTTTCTTTTGGAAGTTTTGTGCTGTAATAAGTGCTTGATGGAGACTTGAATGTTGAAGTTGTCATTGGAGGGAGACGGCAGACAGATTTTTCAGGCATGGAAGCTCAACAGTGTTTTCAGATGCTGTTGGTAATATTACTTGAAGCTCACATCATACTACACTGGCACACATGACAAGGGCAGAGTTTAGGTGTAGCAAGCACCAGCAGTATGGTACACCCACCGTGGACATAGACAAAAGACAAATAATCAATGGTGGACTGGGGTTTGATTCCCCGCTGATGGATTGGTATAGTTGCTGATGCTTTTTTGTGCCTTTTTCCTTTTGCTCTGTTATATAGAGGTTGCTAGGAGGTGGAGGCCTGAATGTTGAGTGTGGGGAGAGGGAAAACAGGGATTCCGGGTACAGTAATGAAACCGAGGTGCAACAATGTTTTCAGGTTTTCGGGTGCTGTTCATATTGCTTAAAGCACTGAAAATGAATTCACACACATTGAAGGGAGAAGTAGGTGTACCAAGCACCAGTGGTGTATGGCACACCTGCTGGTATATGTGATTTAGAACTAGATTGGTAACAGCAGATTGGGGTTCAATTCCCCGCTGGTGCATTCAGTTTGGTGACCTTTCTGTTTTTTTTTTTTTTTTGACTTTGTCGCACTGATTTGTTGGGCTGGATTAAACGATCTAGGGAGAAGCTATGCGGGGATTTCAGGCACCAACTCAGAAGCCCAGCAATGTTTTTGGATACTGGTGTTGATATCATTTGAAGTTCACAGCACACTAAGTATGATGGCACACACATTGAAGGAAAGGTAGGTGTAGCAAGCACTGGTAGTGTATGGTACACCCAATGAAGTAATAAGCGAGGGGTACATGATTGATGGTGGAATGGGGTTCAATTCCCTACTGGTGCATCCAGACTCCATAGATTTTTTTGTACCTTTTTTTCTTTTTCTTTGTTATATAGAGGTTGACAGGAGGTGGAGGCGTAGATGTTGAAGTTGTGGGGAGTGAACAAGTGGGGATTCCGGAGATGTTAATGAAACCAAGGTACAGCAATGTTTTCAGGTGATGTTGAGGTGATGTTCAATTAATATCACTCGGAAAGTTCTTAGAGGTCTTTAATTGGTACCAAAGATTCTGTCACTTTGGCACACAAATTGAAGGCAGAGTTTAGGTGTAGCAAGCATCAGTGGTGTATGGCACACCTGTTGGTATACTTGGTTAATGTTCAATTTAGTAACAGCAGATTGGGGTTCGATTCCCCGCTGGTCCATGTGTTGTCAATATAGGTTTTTCTTTCAGAATTTTTGTGCTATAATACTTGAATGTTGAAGTTGGCCAGAAGGAGACAGTAAGCGGGGATTTCGGGCACCGACTTGGAAGCCCAAAAATATTTTCGGATGCCGATGTTGATATTACTTGAAGCTCTGGGTCCACAGCACAAAAATACCGCTATGCTGGTACACCCATTGAAGGGAGAGGTCATGTGTTGAAAGCACCAGCAGTGTATGGTACACTCACCGAGGCTGTACAGGAATTTTGAAGAAGACAATAAACGGTGGACTGGAGTTCAATTCCCCACTGGTGCATTGGTTGATGATGATGATGGTTTTTTTTTAATTGTACCTGTTTTCTTTTGCTTTGTTAGAGAGAAGTCGCCAGGAGGTGGAGGTGTGGGTGTTGAAGCTGTGTCCACAGCACCAAAAATACTGCTGCCTTGCCTTGCACACATATAGAAGGGGGAAGTGGGTGTACCAAACACCAGTGGTGTATGGCACACCTGCTGCATAATAGCAGATTGGGGTTCAATTCCCCGCTGGTACATGGAATAATAGGTGGCTGGTTTTGATTTTGTTGCGCTAATTTTTGAGCGGGATGGATTGAACATTCCAGGGAATATTCCAAGCCAAGTGGGCATTTCAGCCACAGTGAAGGGATTGTACACTCAGGTGCTGATGGTGGTATTGCTTAAAGCCCTTGACACAGCACTGAAAATGAATTTACACACACATTACAGGGAGAAGTAGGTGTAGCAAGCACCAGTGGTCCTACTGGTATAGTGCCCCTACTTGCCATTTCAGTAAGAGCAAACTGTGGTTTGATTCCCCGCTGGTGCATTCCCGAATAGCGATGGCTTTTTTTTTGACTTAGTTGCACTAATTGTTAGGCTGGATTGAACATTCTAGGGAGAATTTAATGCCAAGACAGGCACAACAATATTTTCGGATGCAGATGTTTGACAGATGTTGAGCTCTGGGTCCACAGCACTGAAAATTAATCTGCACCCAGAACGTAGGTAGCGCTGTATGACACGGTATCTGTACCACCATCTTGGCAACAGCAGAATGGGGTTCAATTCCCCGCTGGTGGATGTTGATGTCGGTTATCTTTCTTTTGGAATTTTTGTGCCGCAATACTTGGTGGAGGCTTGAATGAAGTTGAAGTTGTCATTGGAGGGGGACAGCAGGCGCATTTTTCGGGCATGAAAGCTCAACAGTGTTTTCGGATGCTGGTGGTAATATCGCTTGAAGCTCGTTGCACACTACACTGGCACACGACGAGGGCAGAGTTTAGGTGTAGCAAGCACCGGCAGTGTATGGTACACCCACCGAGGACATACGCAGGGCGACAAGTAATCAATGGTGGACTGGGGTTCGATTCCCCGCCGGTGCATAAAGATCTGCATGGCTTCTTTTGAAATTTTTGTGCTGTAATACTTGGTGTCAGAGGCTTGAATGTTGAAGCTGTAGGGAGACGGTAAGCGGGGATTCCCGGCACGGTAACGAAACCAATATTTTCAGGTGATGTTAATTAATATCACTTGAAGTTCTTAGGCCGAAGATTGTGTCACTTTCGCACACAGATTGAAGGGAGAAGTAGGTGTAATAACAAGCACTGGTTGTGTATGGCACACCTGCTGGTATAGTTATAGCAACCGCCGTTTCGGTAACAGCAAATTGGGGTTCGATTCCCCGCTGGTGCATGTACAATGTCGAACTCGTAGTCGGCAATTTTTCTTTTGACTTTGTTGCTCTACTTTTTAGTGGCTTGAATGTTGGCGGAGATTTCGGGCACGGTGACGAAACGGAGGTCGGATGCTGATGTTAGTAGTTACGAAGAGTTACGACGCACTGAACTTGGGCACATTAAATCTACACACACGCGCCACCAGGGGTCCGTGCAGCTGGGAAGAGACCCGGCAATGAGGTGACCGCGTCCAGTGCTCGAAATACCTCTTGCAGGGATGCAGGGATGGCGATGACATGGGAGGGTGCAGGAGGTGAAACGTGGCGGGAGATTTTTGTGGGCAAGTGAACTGGAGATTAGATTATTGCCAAACACGAGTATGGACGCGTGAAAGGAATTGCAGGTGACCGTGCTCTGCCTCAAGGCGTGGTGTGACAGTGTGACGGTGACAATAATTTCGCTGGCCATGACTATCAAGCACCTGGAAAGTGTGTGTGCACTAAGTGAATAGACCCTTGCTGACTTATGTAGACTTCCTCCTGGAGCGCAAGCACCAGCAGACGCTGCCCCTATCCGCCCTCTCCGACTCGCGCCTCGGCATCGACGCCTCCTACTACCTCTCCCAGCTCACAGACGCCCCACCCGCCCGCGAGCCGCTGTTGGCCGCGACCGGCGGGCTCCCGCTCGCGCTCACCCAGCGCATCGAGGCGGACCTCCGTGCGCTCGAGAAGCTGCGCATCAAGCCCGTCTTCGTCTTCCCTGGCCTCTCGCCAAACCGGCGCTTCAAGGGGCCCAACGCGGGGCCTAACGCGGGTGCCGGGGCGTTCGCCGCCGCAGCGGAGACGGAGGCGTCCCGCGACCGGCGCGACGCCTGGGCGAAGTACGAGGCGGGGCAGGAGGACGCGGCGACGCGGCTGTTCGAGGGCCGGAGCGCGTTCGCGCAGTGGGATCTGTGGCGGATGGTGCTGCGCATATTCAGGCATCGGAACGTCGAGTTTATCGTGGCCCCGTATGTCGCGTGGGCGCAGGTGGGTGTTGTTGTTATCGTGTGCCTCCGAAACGACCTATTGACATGAATAATTTTTTTCTAACGCTCGCGTGCAGCTCATCTACCTCCAACGCCACCCCAAGCAGTACATCCACGCCATCTACGGCCCCCCCGACACGCTCCTCTACCCCGGCGTCGACAAGCTCGTCGTCTCGTTCGACCTCTCCCCCTCTTCCTCCTCTTCTCCTTCCACTGTCTTGCCGTCTTCTTCAAATGCTAACTCCAACGCGGCGCCGAGCTTTACCTTCCTCTCTAAGCGCGGCATCCTCGGGGAGCTCGGGCTGAGCGAGGACCAGTTTCTCGACGTCGCCATCTTGGTTGGTGGGGTCGGCGGCGAGAAGGGGGCGCAGGGGCAGACGGGCGCGTTCCCGCCGACGATGCATGAGCAGGCGTTGAAGGTGTGTGCGCGTGCGCGTTTTTTTTTATCTGTCTGTCTTGTAGTCGCGTGTGGATGGAGTCTTAGGGCCGAGTCTGGCGTCGCGTTCTGCTGCGTTCTCGGTTCTGGCCGCTCCATATCACCTGCCGTTATTTCAAAAACTTCCTCCCCCCCTCATCACTTAACTCCTCAACTAACCCCCGCCTTCGCAGGCCACCGTCGACATGGTCAAGTACTACAAGTCGGGCTTCGCCGCCGTGTCCGCCTTTGCGGAGCACCCCGCCGTCAAGGGCGTGGGGTACACGGAGTATTATGCAAGGACGAGGAGTTTGGTGAGTGGTTTTTTTTTTCTGCTCTTGTTCTGCTCGGAGTGGATTTCGATTCTGCTCTTGATTGGATTTGGAGTTTTTGTTGGTGGGTGGAGGGGAGCTTTTTGTGTCTTAGGGTTTTACCCGTCGACTTTAGACTTTGCCCGTTTTGGGGTGGCGGGGAGGGGGAGGGGGAAGGAGGAAGAATGTTCCCGACGGAAGGGGATGGAATGCAAGGGTCTTGGGACGAGAGACTTGGGAAGTTTTGAAAGAGTGGGGAGGTATTGGCGGGAGGACTTCGAGTCTGCGAGGAGTCGCGTTGGTTGGCGCGTTTCGGTGGCTTTGGGAGTGTCTGACGACTTTGTCTCGACTTCTCGGCGTTCTTCCTCCTTCACGTTGAGCCTCGTCCTCTTTTCGTTTTTATTTTTACCTTTGCGCCCTTTCCGACTTTATTTTTTATTCTCTCTCTCTTTTCGTTCCTCTTTCCCCCCACGCGCGCGCGCTAACTCACCCTCTACCCCACAGATCCGCTACTCCCTCATCCTCTCCGCCGAGGGCGTCGTGCTGCCGCTGCCCGTTTCGGGCGGGGGCGGGCCCGGCGTGGGCGCGCAGGGCGGGTTGCCTGGTGCGTATACGTCCTCTGTTTCTCTTCTCCATTTCTCCTCGATCCCTTCCGCCTTCCCTCCCTCGCTCCTCAATCGCTCCTCCGCCTTCCCTCCCTTCCCTTCCTCTCTGCCTTCCCTTCCGCCTTCCCTCCCCTACTTCCCTCTCCTCCCTTTCTTCTATCTCTCCCCACTTTTCTTTAATTCTTGAATTTAATTACGGCTACAAACACAAAACAAATACTGACCACTCCGCACCCCAGGCGCAGACCGTGGCGGCCCCTCGGGCCCCACGGCGGCGGAC